GGCAGCCTTAAAAAAACCCTAAACCCCAAACCTTAACCCTAAACCCTCAACCCTAAACCCTTAACCCAGATCCTGCAACCCAGACTCTCAGTGTTAGGATTTCGGGCTTGTCACGTCGAAACACCCAACCTTAACCTGCCTCGCTTCCTTGCATGCTACGGTTGATCATATAAATCCTTAAGGAATATGCCATAATTCCCATAGTTTAGGGTCCTCAAGGTAATGCAAGATTTCTATCATCAACCGTAGTTCTGTTTCTTAATCTTAGTCACCCAGAAAGCCTACATCCGAAGCCCAGAGCCTTAAACCCTTAAGCCCGAAGCCCTAAACCCTTAAGCCCTTCACCCAGCACGTGTTTTCGTGCCGTAAGAGGTTTGGCTTCGAAAAGAGTAGGTCGTCTCTTGCAGCTTTTTTGTCTTCAGCATTCTGGTTGAAAAGGCGCCTCAAGCCGCAAACCTGAACTCACACCCTAACAACACAAGTTCAAGAAATGCTACAGCATGTTCTGTTCTTGGGCTTCGGCGACCAACACAATCCCCACACGAAAGCGACCCCAAGCACAAAACGCCAAACCCCTAACCCAAAAGAGTCTTCGACGCCGTAGCACCCCGGCATAGTTTCGCAAGCCATCTAAGCCGGAGCTTCCAGCATTCTACGAGCACAAGCTATGATCAGCTCCGTGAGAGACTGTACTCCGACCCTAAACCTTAAACCCTAAACCCTAAACCCCTAAGCTCAAGGCTCAGATCGGCTCAGGCTTCGAATTAAGGCGCCCGGTCCGCTGTCACCATCTTCGTCATGGCGCCGCGGCTGCCGCGTCGACCGCTCGCTCCCTGCTATCTTGGACCTCCAAAGGAGGTGGACACAGTGCCCGAGGGTTATGCCCGTGTCTACCACAACAGGAGGCGAACCTCTTGGACAGACTACAAGCTCGCCGAAACGGGCGACGACTTGAGCTTGTCGCGGCAGTCCACAGCGGATACAGATATCAGCATGGATCCCAAGCAGCAACCTGACGGGAGTTTCAGCATGACTCCATCTACACAAGAGCTCCTCGCTCAGCTGGATGCAGAAAAGTGCATCGGCTGTTGCATGCAGCGAAGCAGGATCCTCCATGAAGCCTTGACATACTGTCGCATTCCTGGCTATGTCCAGCCATGTGCAGAAGACGGTTGGTCTCCTTTGCTCATTGCGACGCAACGCCGGAACTACAATGCCGTGCAGACCCTTCTTGCGCATGGTGCAGAGGTGGACTGCAAGGAGCCACAAAGCGGTTGGACGCCTTTGATGTTTGCAGCATCTCTTGGCGATTGCGACATCGTGAAGATCCTGCTTGACAAAAACGCTTCCATCAACGAGTTTGCCAGTCCGCACGACTGGAATCCACTCTGTTGTGCGCTCCAGGCCAACAACAAAGATGTGGTGCGCATTCTTCTCGATGCCGGTGCTGATGTCAGCTTAATCAAAAGGAGGCATCCTGCGCTCGCGGAGCTGTATGAGTGCGAGCTGGAAGACGTGTGTGGAACTCCTGTGAGTGGCCGCTAGAGACTTGTGAAGGAGCAGTGACTGCCGTGCCCAGGTAGTAGCACGATGTCGGGCTTGAAGCCTTGTTCATCGATGCCAGCTGTAGCAGAGCTTAACACTCCAAGTTGTCACTCACGAAATAGGCCTTTAGAGTCTAGCTGTGGGCGCATACCATAATCGCAGCATCTTTTGACAGTTGACACCGCGCATTTCGGTAAGGTAAGGCTCGCAAGGTCGTCATGCAAGCGCAATTGAAAGCACCATGCAATACCACTTGGCCGAAGGCTTTGGTTGCCATGCCACCAGCTTTTGTATTGTTTCAAGGATGCCACGTTTGACATTTTGCAGACTGGCTAGCATGCATCTGACACCTGCTTCATGTACAGGCATCAGAATCGGGTGACGAGTGTAGTTTTCCGGATGTACAGGGCAGACTGCTTTCCTCTAATGCCGTCTACATTGTTTGAGGTTTGTCGGTGAGTGGGTACTCTGCTTGCTTGTTTGACGGATTTCGGTGAGGTTGCTGAGGGTTTGGTTAGGAGAGGGGGCAAGCCGGGACCGGAACCACTCTGTCAGATGTCAGGTTGCTTGGGTCCGTTTCGGGAGGCATGGGATGGTGCCAGTATGGGGTAATGTGGTGTTGGTGGTGAATCCTTCTGTTGCAGTATGCCTCCCGAACCCCGCCTCAGCCAGATTGGCATTCCCGAGACCTTTTGGGCTGACGGAAAAGAGGTGATAAAACAAAAACCCTAAGCCCCGATCCTAACGTCACTGGATTCACAAGACACGGCGTTGCGAAGCCCGGCTCCGAAGGAGCCAGAAAGTTGGAACAAGGATGATGCTTATGCCCTGCAGTCAAGACCTTTTTGGGGCTTAGGGCTTGGGGTTAACATGCCAGGGAAATCTCAGCACTAATCATCTGTGATCCATGTTCCAACTTGCGATCGAGTTTGTCGGTTCTAATTTCGGGGTTTTCGTTACCTTAATTGGGTTGTTCTGTCCATTGTAGCCCTGCTTTCGCCTGCTCACTAAGTGCCGTGAGCCTTTCAAGATCCCCAACCACATTCCCAAACTCGACGAATCCTCAGCCGGATACACACCGTAAAAGAGTAGAACATATAGAAATCTTCATGAAAGCCGCCAGTCTCCCGTAGAGGTCCGACAAGTATGAGGAGGGGCCAAAGAGCCCTGCCTCAACGGCAGACGAGACGGGCGATGAGGCCTGACTTCTGCGGTGTTTTTTTGGGTTTTGGGTTCAAGGGTCGCTAAACCTTAAGCCCCGTCGATGATGTAGAACTTCTAGGGTTCAGGGTGTACTGTTTGGGCTTTGTGGTTTAGGGCTTCATTAGGGTTTATTTTCCGTGTCTTCGGGGGTCGAAACCCAAGGTCTTGATGCAAAAGAGGATTTGCAAGGGCGTTAATTTTTTTTACTTTTATTTTTATATTTTTTTTTGAGGGGGGGGGGG